CACCGTGCCACCCTGGCCGCTGTGTGCATGTCTATATAGAAGCTGCACATCGGAATAAACATAGAGGCTGCCCTTCTATGTCGAGTTTCTTATACTTATCACATATCCCAACACTGGAGCCTGTCATGAATTGAGATGTGCCTATGAAAACTTCCTACCTCAGCTTCTACCTTGGTCAGATTGCAACCACTGATGCACACACAGGTCTTTCCTGAGTGCAAGTCTGGATCTACGGAACTGATGCACACATACATCCTCAGTCATCAAGCAAGGGCTCCCGATCACCATCATCATCGTTATTCTCTGAAGGCTGGTCTCCATCGTCCAGCGGCCCCTCTTGCAAGCGATGTGCTCTCGGCTTGGGGCCTCGCCTTCGCCTCCGCTTCGGGCTGGCTGCCGGACCCTTGGCCCGTTTTCCAACCGGCTGTTGCCAAGCCGGCGACTGCCGAATCGCCTTCTTCACGTACAGCATGTTTTGCATCGTCAGTTCCATCCAGATGTCCGCGGTCTTGAGGGTCCAGAGAAGTCGCATCTGAGGAGCCGCCGCCTCTTCATCGGAGCCCTCCAAAGTTGGTGGAGTCACCAGAACTGTTCTCCCGGCAAGGAACTCGTCTTCTTGTCTAGCGGGTCTGATCTTGTCTGGAACTTTGGAGCCTTCTGCTTGGGCTGCCTGCACTATGACACTTTTGAGGGCTTCGTTGCATGCCTGGCGACGGAGCTCCTGCATCTTCACAAACCACTCAACGTTGATGCTGTTGACTGGTCGACTCGCAGACAGATTGAGAGCTTTACCCGTCACGTATTGGGTCAGCTCCCTGGACCACTTCGAAAGCTTGACGAAGGTAAACCCGGAGACCACTTGGGTCTCTGGCATCCAGACACCTTTGATGGAATCGCCCGAGAGGCATGTGGCAGTAAATATCTTTAAAGGCTTCTCTTCCTCCTCTTCCTCATCTTCTGCCACAGCATGCTGCCCCTCGGCCATGCTATCTATGCAGCGAGCTAAGCCCTGCTGCAATGGCCGCGAGCAAAGCCCTGCTAGCCTGACATTCAAGTCGCAACCTGCACAGCTGCACACGGCATGCATGCAAGTAGAAGAATGGAAGCACACGAGGATGCAAATGCACATCGGTTGCAAGATCGCAGCATGATGCTGTGAAACTCCCTCAATCCTTCTTTTAAACCGCTCGCACAAGAGCTGCATGGCTGCATGGGATTAGGGGCCTTCTGCCGCACGAATATAGTCTTTCTATGGGGCCTTGTGCCACACAAATGGCTTCAAGGGGCCTTCTCGCAAACGAATCAAACTTGCCGTGGATGGACCACCTACTTTCGAGCCTTCTTCGTCACGGGCTCCAAAGCTTCGATCACGTCGGTTTTGCCCGTGTCGGGCCTCCATAGCACCAAGTCATCGCCTGCCTCGAGCTTGACAAAATTGCGGACTATCGGGAGAATCATCGATGCGGATTTGCACGTCAGCTTCTGGTTGCTCGCGCTTTTGCTTGTCCAATGCAGCTCCATGTTGGCCTCATCCCGATCCGTTGTGCTCTTCATCAGCCATACTGGGTTGATAAAGCCTTGCTGGGATGACTCTGTCTTGGGAGCTTGGAAATGAGCCTGCATAGATATCCTGTGGGTCCCTTTCTGGCTTGTTCCTACAGCCAACACAGCCAACTGCACTGCTCCGGCGGGCACCGTCTCAGCGATTGTAACTTTGGCCGTGGCGATGGGGAGCTTGAGGATGTTGATGTTGTAGCTCTTCTTAACCTGCACATTCTTGCTGGGCTTCAAAAAGACATCAAGGTCATCGACTTTCAACGTCTCGTACTGCTCGTGCATGGACTGGAAAACAATGCCCTTCACGACTGCAATGCTGAAATCCTCACTTCTCAACGGGGAAAACTTGGTCCATTCCTTGAACAACACGGGCTCCGCCTTGGGCACGTACATCTTCCACTTGTTGTCAACGAAAGACTGCGAAGATGCCTCGTATTCCTTGCCATCGGTCAGCTTGAGACGGACTTTGTCGGCGGTGATCTCCATGATGGTGCCCTTCATGTCGTCGGCTTTGCGGATCACTTCATTCCCGGCCTTAAACCCCAGGTCCACCACTCGCGAGTTGGATACAAGCTTCCCTGTGTCGTCGTAGACCCGCAAAGACCTAGAAAAGACACATGCACCGGAACAGTGACTATATAAGTATGTAGTGGAACGGAAAACCTCAAAACCCAGCCCTCGCGGATGAAAAACCATGCACTCAACAGAACCCCTGAAAACCCAAACCTCATGCATGCATGGACCCATCCTGTATTCCTGAAACCCATATATAATCACCATGCATAAACGGAGCGAGCCACGCCCCACGAGCAACTGGGGCTGAGGAACCCGAATTCTTCGTGGGTGCGGTGGCCGCCCAGGGCGACGAGATACCGAACTTTTCAAGCCACGTCGTGGCAGCATCCTCAATGCTGTCGTGCTTGGCAATTTTCTTCTTCTGGAGGACAACGGCGGCCAGCTCAACCTCGAAGTCGCCCAACACCGACTCCAAATTCTCGATGCCTTGCAACAGCCGCTGCACCTCGACAAGGACCGTTTCGGCTTTACCGACATTGTTCAGAACCTCCTTTGCCGAGAGAGATCGTTTGATGTCTGTCAAAGTGATGGCTTTCTCGGGGCCGCAGAGTCCCAGTTTGATGCACATGTGCCTCCATGGTACATGCTGCTCCGGGCCCTTGCAGTCCTGGCTAAGGGCAAGCCAGATGTCGCCACCGAGAGCACGGTTGGGAAAGCCCGAAGCTCGAACATAGCGCTCTGTCTTCGACATGAAGCTCGCAGTGCCCGTGCCACC